TTTGAGAGAGAGAAAGAGAGAGAGGGAGAAAGAAAGATCGTGAGTGGGGGAGGGGCAGAGAGAGAGGGAGACACAGAATCCGAAGCAGGCTCCAGGCTCCGAGCTGTTAGCACAGAGCCCGATGCGGGGCTTGAACTCAAAAACCGCGAGATCGTGACCTGAACCGAAGTCGGATGCTCAACCGACTGAACCACCCAGGCGCCCCGAGGTAGCTCTCTTCCTGATACTCCCTGTTGGCCACTTGTTCCTGGAGGAAGAACCAGCTGACAAACAGATCCCCCAGAATGTGGATCAAGCTGAGTGAGGGAGACATCACTATCGATCCTTTTTCTTTTTAAGTTTATTTATTTGTTTTGAGAGAGACAGAGACAGCACCAGTGGGGGAGGGGCAGAGAGAGAGGGAGAGGGAGAGAGAGAATCCCAAGCGGGCTCCACACCGCTAGCACAGAGCCCGATGTGGGGCTGGAGCCCACAAAGCCACGGGATCATGACCTGAGCAGAAACCAAGAGTTGGGCACTCAACTGACTGAGCCACCCAGCTACCCCACTACCCATCCTTTTATAACAGGAGTTGGCAAACTTTTTCTGTAAAGCTCAGATAGTGATGATTTTACGGTCTGCAGATCATGGGGTCTCCGTTGCAACCCCTCAACTCATCTACCGTAGAGAGAAAGCAACCCCAGACAATATGTAAATGAGTGGGTGTGGCTGTGTGCCAATAAAATTTTATGGATCCTGAAGTTTGAATTTCATGCAATTTCATGTGTCACAGAACATCATTCTTCTTTTGACTTTTCCCCCAACCACTTAAAAAAACATTCTTAGCTTGCATACAAAAATAAGCACAGGCACAAATTTGGCACTGGGATTGTCGTGCTCATACATCTGATTTTATAACATGATTCCTTGAGTTCTTAACTTGGATTCAGCTCAGTTGGCTTGTGTGTTTCATGAAGTTATTGTTTCTCTAGTTAGATTTTATGACAGAGGGTGAAGTCATTCATATTCTTAGTTCATGGCATCCTGTCCTGGCTGGTCCCTGTAAGACCCCCCCCCCCGCCCTTCTCTTGTGGGTTTTTTTGTTTTGGTTTCCTTGGGTTCCCTTATATCCTCATCCCTTTCCAACGGCTAGCATCCTGATGTATTTAATGTGTGTTCCTTAGTCCACATGATTCTGTTCTTGTTTTTGTTGGTTTTTTATTTTTTATTTTATTAAAAAAATATTTATTTATTTATTTGTTTTGAGAGAGAGAGAGAGAGAGAACGAGCAGGGGAGGTGCAGAGTGAGAGAGAAGGAGAGAGAAAATCCCAAGCAGGCTCCGTGCTGTCAGTGCACAGCCCTATGTGGGGCTTGAACCCATGAACCGTGGGGATCATGACCTGAGCTGAAGCCAAGAGTCAGACGCTTAACCGACTGAGCCACCCAGGCACCTTCTTGTTGGTTTTTTAAAACGATCTTTGCGGGTATGGTTCTTCTAAGATGCGTATCATTGGTTTGCGTGTGTGTATCTTTAATCTATATAAGCAGTGTTGGGTTGCAGAGCTATTCTCATTTTTCCACTTAGCTCTGTATCTAAAAGATCATCCTTGTCGCCATGTGAACACCGAGTCTTTGCACTAGTTAGAAACTGGTGCACAGGGCTCCACAGGTGAGTCCGCCACCTTTCACTTCATTTTTAAAAAGAAGTGTCCTTGCGTGCTATTATGTATTGGCCTTGTGCATATTTGGAAATAGGTACCATCTGCTCCTACAAGGGGCAGGCAATTTGCTTGTGTATTTTAATGCTTATTTATTTATTTATTTATTTATTTATTTATTTA